GATCAAAATAATAATTCACGTCGTTCGGCATCGTGATCGGGAACCTAATGGGTCACACACAAAAGAGAATCAGAAGAATGAGATTTACCAATTAATTAATTGACAAGTGTTGGATAATTAATTAATTGAGTTGTTTATTAATAGGTCCGAATTAATTAATTGGATTAATTAATTCATGGACCAGATTTAATTAATTTGATTAATTAAATATTGGACCGGGTTAAGTTTAATAGATGGATCGAACCCATTTGGACTTATATTAATAAACTACTAGGGTTTGAAAACAGGGGGGATTTTTATTATTCTTGCTAGTACAAGAAAAGAAACCCTAGCCGTCATTCTTGTTCTCTGTGTGGATCACCATTGGAGACTGGACAATTGGACAGCTTGGATTGCAGATCGTGATCATTGGAGTTCAAGAAAAAGCAAAAGAGTTTGTGGAATTCATCAAATGTATAATTCTAATCGCAGTTTCTATCTAAACACATTGCAGATCCTCGTTTGGGAATTGAAAATTGTTTTATTTCCGCTGTACATGATTAAGTAAATTCCCAACAAGCAGCTCCAAAATATCTATTGTGTACAGGTTTAGAGGATATGATTAATTGCTTCAAAATTTGTGTATAACAATCTGGAAACCACCTATCAAGAGCATTCTTATATGAGATAAAGAAAACTAATCAGTGTACCGAGAATCGTAACAAAATCATATTGTAGTCTGTGTTAACATTTAACACTTTACATGTGTTAATTGCCCTTTTGCTCTGAATGGTAGGTCAGTGGAGAATAGGGGATTTAAGTTTGACAGTTATTTGTAATCGCGAACCTCCACCAGCAGAAAATGATCAGAAAATCAGAAAGCGTAATGGGTTACAATACAGCTTCAGGATCGAGGATATCTTACTTGGGGAGGGATGTGAAATTTCCATGATGGAATTTAAACCTCACTCGGTTACTGCATTTTCTGAGGATGAATTTACCTCCTTCAACGAAAAATCCTCGTATGCTTCACTGTCAAACAGTAACTATACCATCTCTAATGAAGAAAGCATGAAGGAGTATGCAGACTTGAAGTTCTCTTTGTTATTTTATGATACATTGCTTACACTTGCTGGATCCTTAATTGCTTCCCTTTTGGCCGGGGAAAATGCTTCGTTCGCATTCGTAATGGGTGGAATCGGTGGGTTTTTTTATCTACTCTTTCTACAGAGGTCTGTTGATGGACTACCAGTCCCGGAACTGGTTTCGAGGGAAAGTACAGGAAATTTCAATGAAGTGTTTGGAAGATTTAAGGGTCCACTGTCAAGCCTAGCATTGGCATTTGCATTAGCCATTATTGCAGTAAAATATGCTTCAGGAGATAGTGCTGTGAAGTTAACACCGAAAGACCTTATATTTGGGATGATGGGATTTCTTTTGTGCAAAGTGTCTGTGGTATTAGCAGCATTTAAACCAATGGAAATTGGCTCAAGAGAGAAAAAGTGATAGGCATTTTAAATGTTCTTGTACCTGCATAGGTTAGTTTACATACTTGTATAGAATGATATAGATGGCCAGTCGACTAGGTATAGAGAGGTTAAATCGTTCTTTGTTTATCTTTAAGAAAGTGTTCGTGGAAACTGGAAAATTATTTTGTGCTTCGCAGATGATGCTCTCTCTCTCAGCAATATAAACAGTAATAAAAGCATATTAATTTTCGTACTTTTTTCTTTTCAATTAGTTTATGTTAAGAAACAACTAAATAATTGTCATATGAAGTTTAGCTTTCAAAATCAAAAAGGAAAAAAAAAAAGGGTCATGCGAAGTACGCAGCTCAAAAATATTATGCAGGAATTAACACTATGAATACAAAGATAAAGAATCCAACGGCCGTCATGCAAAATTCCTGCTGCACTGTACATTTATGTAATGGAAGTTTATCCTAAAAAATGTTTGCAAGTCAAACCCTTTTAACGAAAATTAAATTAAGTTCAAAAAATGGGCTGCGTTTGCCGGGAGTCGAACCCGGGTCTATTGCTTGGAAGGCAATTATCCTAACCGTTGGACTACAAACGCTGCTTGTTAAAACTCGCCTAAATTTCAATTAAAAGATACTATTTAGGACTTGTTTGATCAATCTATTTCCCTTTTTTTCGTCAGCCACATATTTTTTAATAAAATAATAATGCATGTAAATCCAAAACCTTTCATTATTTTTTAAACACACATTCTTCGTCAATTTACCATATTAAAATGCATTCTTAATCAAAAGGGGTTCAAACATGCTCTAAATAGTAACAATATATACGTTTTTATATTCTCACTGTCGAGCTTTATTCTCCTAGCTAATAAACAAAGAAACCTATTAGGATGCTCCAAGCTTCACAGAATAAATATTCTCCAAATGGTAATCCTAATTAGTTTAGATTTTCTGCCTCATACAGCTTAGGTCGCAGACCATGAAAGTTTAAGATGGATGAGAAAGCTAACAACTTCCAGTCGAAGCCAATTTTCTTTTAAAGTCATTCTTTCTTCCAAGAATAGCAATTGCTTGTACTAATCAAAATATAAACAATAGCTTTATGATTTCAACCCTGCATGCATTACAACACGCATTAGTTTTTATTATCGATTTGAATTATAAAAAGATACAAATGAATAATGAATAATTAGTATTTGTTAATCCTTCAAAGTGTGTAAATTACAAGTGACTTGAATGTTTATAAACTGAGCCAAACATCTATAGATAAATTGATTCAAATGTTCAAAAATCTGCAAACTCAATCCATGTCGTGTGAAACTACTAGGGATTAAAAATAAATATGGAGAAACTTAAAACCTCTACACGAGGGATAAAAATACGATACTAGAAGAAGAAAAGAGGGCAAACGCCTCGACCATTACAGTGTTAGGAGTGATCTCAATTTCCAGCACCATTGCTTTCGTCGTATTTGCTATTAGTTCCACAAAAAGATCTGATCAAAGAAAAGAATAACCGGCGTCTTTCACATGCTTCCCGATATCCCATCATCAATGGAAAAAATATATCTAAATTTTTTAGAGTGAATTACGCGCATAAAGCAGCTATCAGGCATCTGTCCCGCAGAATTCAGCTACTATTAGCAGCTGCATCAAAGGAAGTAATCTGGTGTTCTGCGGGTTACATCTGGCTCACCCCTTCTAGGAGCTGGGTCAAACTGCAACAGGAAACAGCTACAACCTCAATATGTACTCAAACAACCATAATAAAGTGAGAATTGCAGCATTGGTCCTCAATCTATGGCCTGAGTAGCATGTTAAATCTCACATTTTCACTTCAAATTTCTAGCCACCAGCTCAAATTGGGGAACAAAATCTAGCTTGGTAAAGTTGGAAATGTGAGTCACATGACGATTTAATGAAAATTTTAGCTGTTTTGCCAGATTACTTATTGTGCAACTACAGTAAAAAGTTAGGGGGTACTCGGGTAATGGGTTGGGAGACTAAGACAATTTCCCCATAACAAACAAATATCAGCAGTCATATGCACACAGTGCAAAAGAGAGAGACCTGAATGAATGTGTGCCCTTGGCAATCATCGACTTCAAGGATAGATGCCATGTTCCCACATCGATAACAATAATTTGGTGCACTGAATATGGTAACCACCTTTTGATCCTACAACCAACAATGCACAAGAACCAGAAATCGCACTATCAATTTAATTCAACAAAGCCTTATCAAATAAGAAACAGTTGTAAGAAGTTCAAAGAATAAATTACATGAGCCCAGTTAAATCCCTCCATAACCAGCTGGTGAGCTCTTGCAATAAGCTTCAAATTGTTTGCGTGGTTAAACTGCTCTGATATGTCCTGCCAATTAAAGTGCAAATAAAAGCAACCTTAATTTTTCCGGCAGTACAAAGTTTAAACTGAACATGAGAATATGAAGCAGTGATAAGTACTTGACCAAATGTATATCCAGCACCCCTGGGTGAGATACCCCAACCGCAACGATCATCAGGATCAGACCATAAAAGATCACACATGGGGCCCTCGTGGGGAACTTCTTGCACACGGTCAAAATTACGAATATTATCCAGAGTTTCAATGGATGGTGACAATCCACCATGCAGGCAAAAGATTTCTGATTCAACCTAGAAGTTAAAGAATGACGTACTAAATCAACACGAGAATGCAACATTTATAGAGCAAGAGCTGAAAGAACACCACATTGCTTTATGGTTGCGTGCTAAGTAGAAAAAATTTGCTATTTAGAAGATGGGTGAAATCAGCAAATTAGCAATGCTACTGCTAAAATATGAATCATGGAAAAGATGTCACCACAATAATAATAGAAAATATAAAACAGAAGGAATTGAACTAACCAATGCGGTAAGAGGGAAATAGTCAAATAAATCTGTAAAGATCTTCCAGATATTGGCATTACCATATCTGTACAATGCAAGAAGATGATCAACACATGTTTAGTCACCCTCCACGTGCAAGCAAGATACAAAGAAATAAAGAGAGGAAAGAGAGAACAGGAAATAATTATGGCTTATTAGCATGTAAAGAGACTAGAAGAGTATAATTTGTTGGTGATGATTTTCTACAATTTGTATTTCCACTAAAAATAGAAGTGCATTCAAATGCAATAAAAGAACTTGCTAAAAAGTTGCCTTATTCTTCAACATATAGGATGACAACCTAAAGGTAACTATTTCACGAATGCCAGCCAAATAGTTAATCAACAGTGTTATGCAATGGTTCCCCCAAATTCAAAAATAATAATAGATTGCATATGTCGATCATAATGGAGGCCAGAATGAGAGGAAAATGTTGCATGAAGTGATTAAGCTTTGAAATTCAATAGGCATTTAAACAACATAAGAAACAGAAAGAAGTCAAGAACTCACTTTCTTAGGCATTCATCATAAAATCCATAAACTTGAGTAATCTGCAAAAGAAGAAGAAAACAGAAAGTAACTTTTCAGCACTTACCACCCAAACAAAATTTTACGATTGAATGATTCAAGAACCTCATAACACAATACCTAAAAATATTAAGACAATTTAGGAGAGAATAGCCATTCTGTCCAACAGAATGTCTGACGATAAATAATTGGGTTTCAAAAAAAGAAAACAAATCCACTGCGGATGAAAAGTAGGCTGCGGAACATAAAGTGAGAGAAGTTAGGACATAATAAGTATAGATATCAAGTCTTACCTGGCGACTTTCATGATTTCCTCGTAGAATAGTAATTCGTTGAGGATAACGCACTTTTAGAGCCACCAAGAGCTGAAAGAATTTATGCAAGAAAAAAGAACATTAAGAATGTGCATGAAAAGAATTTTAGCAGTACCTAAATCCCACAGGCCCATAGAATTATATTCTAATATAAGCAAACCCAATTCCAAAACATGTTTCTTCGAAATCCAAATATTCAATTGTCCAAATATGAGCTCCTGATAGTCGATAGATATCCACTCACCAGAGTTTAATATATTTTACTAGATTTATTGACAAAATATTAGAATTGGCTTCACTAAGTAATATAACCTGTCTCGATAAACGTGTGTGAGTTATTATTTACAAAATATGCATCAGTGCTGATAAAATAAATAAATGTGTATGAACAGAGTTACTCTTTGGGGCTAGCATGAACAGAGCCTTTGAGAAAGAGTGCATCCCCACCCCCCACCCCCCACAAAATCTTTTCCTCCTCTTCCTTATCACTGCATAGGCTGTCTAGGGTTTTCATAAAACATACTTCTGAGGGAAAATCATATTCTTGTAATTATTTTTTTAACAGAACAGATTTTGAGAGCTTCCCACTCAAAAGCAAAAATAGAAAGAACTGAATGATGCACTGTTATAGCAATCAACTAACATATTAGAGTTTCCATAGCAAAATAATAGTAATAACATGGTTAAAATATAACTCACCGTTACCGTTTCAACTGAATAGTACCCACGATCAACATAATCTCCCATAAACAAATAGTTTGTATCTGGACACTGCAAACCCACGAAAAGAAACCATGCTAAATATATGATTCAACTGAAGAAAAATAAGTCTTCTTCAATAATATATACAAAATGTAAGACACTGAGAGAGGCCAAATGAGCACATACCTTTCCACCAATCTTAAAAAGCTCAGCAAGATCATGGAATTGCCCATGAATATCACCACAAATGGTCACAGGGCTTTTCACAGGCTGCAATTATGGAAACAAAAAACCAATTGGGCACTATTTCAACATTTAAGTTTGCCAAGAATTGGATTTGTTTTAGGCAGAACTGGCATATCAAAAACATTAGGGCTATTAAAATTTAAATTCTCAAAAGTAGTTACTGAAACTACGTCAATTAGTAAATCTACTAGAAATGCCTTCTCCAACCCACCTTAGGTTGGGGGCGGGGAGGAATAGAAAGGCTTTGAAAAGGAGCCTCTATTAGCTATATAGAAAATATTGTGTTTCTACTAAAAAGTGCATGTATTTTAGGAATAAAAGAGTCTCATCAAAAATAAAGGAGCATGCCCAAAAGGAACAAAAAAATAAAGACGAATTTTAACTTCTTTCTTCCTTATAATAGGCAAAAAAAAAAAAAAGTCACAAAACTTATCGAATTAACTTCTCATTGATATATTGTTTCATCGAGATTCAATCCAAATCATGATGGTATTTTCCCATCATAAGCTAAATAGGTTAAAAGCACTATTAGTCGCTCAATTTACAAACAAGTTTCATGTTAGAAAGTGACCCTTTTTGTTTCAGTTTGATCGCTCGGTTAAAATTTGTCAATTTTCTACAAAAAATGTCCATCACACAGAACTTATCAGAATCTCCGTCACATATATAACATATTGCCTACTGAAACCTTCAACAAATAAATTTTCTTTTGTAACTAGTTTCTGTCAGTAGTTCGCTAGAAAATGTATGCTGCAATTCAGTGAAAGTGACAATACAGATTACAATTAATCAAGATATATTTTTTCATATATACCTCTTTGGCTGCCTAGTACAAATGGAGGATCCACCACTGACGGAGTTCTTTTCCTCATCTGCAGCAGCTTTAGCCGCAATACTGTTCCCAACAATTTGCTCCATCTGCTGGAACCACGGCCAGTGACTCGCCGGTAAGCCGCCGTTGCTCAACCGATGCCTCTCCAATTTGTATCGCTTTTTCAAATTATCCACCTTGTTCTTACACTGCTCCACGCTCTTGCTCTGCTTATCGCATCTCTCGCTAACCGTCGCCGCCACCTCCTCCCAGTCCCTTCCCCTCAAATTTCCCCTATTCAACTGCACAAACTTATCAGTATACGCCTCCAACAAGCACGCGATGGCCGTGTCACTCCATTCTTCTCTGTCCTTCCTGTAGTCACCAGCGGAAGAGGAGGCGGAGTGTAGTCTTGTCCTTTTCGAAACGCCGTTGCTGATTTCATCGCGCTCGGCAGCTCGTTTACCGGATCGGGAGCTCGGATCCGGTTCGGAATCGAACGGATCGGAGTCTTGGTCGTAAGGATTGACACTAAACGGCGGCGTTTGGATGGTGGCGGAAGGTTGGGTGGAATCAGGGTTTTGGTGGTCGTCGAGAAGGGAAAAATCGTCGTCACAGGAGGCCATGGACGGCGTTAGGGTTAGGCTTGACGGAAACGGAGAAGAACAGACGGACGTGAGAGAAGGCGTTTGGGGAATTTGTGGTGGTTGAGGGAGAGGCGTTTAGTGTGTGACGAGTCCGTTAGGTAAGCACGTGTTGCGTGGTCACGTGAGTGGGCCCATTTTTTTTTTACGTTACGAAAAGCTTCTGTTTTCTAATCTGCAAGTGCGGTCCTCAAGTTACGATTGAGAGTTATATTTGCACCTGCAGCCCTCAAACTTTGAATTCGATCGCATCTTCATGCCAGCTCCTTCTTGTCCTCCTCTTCACCGTCACTTATCTGGTCGCTACTTTAACCTGCACTTCGTCAATTAAATGTCCATGTCCATCTTATCGGTTTTAATTCCATTGTCCCAATTTTTTAAGATAGTGAAGATAGCGAGAGAGTGAAATCACCATCTACTCGTTTTCAATCCCATTTCTACAACATTCTACCATTTAGTACCTCAGTAAAAAAATTTCCAATCATATTTAGCGATGGAGAATAACACTTTAAATGGTGTGACGACTAATGAACATACTGAAATCTTTGACAATCTTAGTGAAAGAATAGTGATATAGGTGTGGATAAAAATGTGTATTTTTATGCAAAAAAAAAATATATATATTTACTAAGGAGGTGTGAAGCAATGTTAAAGGGGTTTTAGGTGGCATGTTGGGAGAACGGAGCACAAGTTCAAATTCGGTCTTTTAAGGATTTTGTGGCTGCCAAGACCAACTTCATTTATAGACCGATTACAACAAGCCAAGGGCAAGATCATGGGGATACTAGGGGAATGGGAGTTCCTCGTCAACGTTATTGTTGGACATTATTTGTTAGGGCACTCTCATTCCCCATTTCATGTATTGGATACTTTTTCTGACGTCTATAAAACTCGAACACTCTCCACTCTATAACATGCCCACATTGGTCCTAAAATGCACTTATAAGCTCCATGTAATATGGCTTGCTTGGGAGAGATTATAAGTTGTGGTCATATAGAATGTGTGAATTATATGTGGGTAGTAGTTGTGAATGTTGGAACTTTATTAATGAAACTTAAAATTTATGAACTTGCCAAAATCTTCATGTCAAACCATCAAAAAGCTGAATTAACGCGGAATATACCTTAATCCATTGATTTCTGACTTGAATAATGAATCTTGAATCTTGATCTGTAAATCTTCAATTTGGTTGCTTCAAACCTCCTTCTTGATTCCTGATATTGGGTTTGTGGATCTTCCTCTTTATATGCTTTCTCTTGTATAAATCTTCAATTTGGTTGTTTCAAACCTCCTTCTTTATTCCTGATTGTGGGTTTATGGATCTTCCCCTTCATATATTTTCTCTTGTATTCTTGTATTGATGGGATGACACAAAGAATGAGAAAATCACACATGAATTGGGGACCATAACCCTTTATATATTTCCATATGTATTCTGATGCAGGAGGGTCCGAGTCAGACGAAGTTGAGTTGTCAGATAACTCGTTGATGGCGCTAACGTACCATGAGTTGGCGGATCGACGTAAGAATGGAAAGTAATCGACGACATTTCCTAATTGTGGTCAATATAGAACACGTTTTGGTATTTTGGCTATAACTTTGGATACGGATGAATAGTATTTTCTTGTTCCTGAATGTACTCCTATCGAATTCCACCACTTGTAGAGAAGGATAAGGTTAAATTGAGCAATTAACAATGAAAGTAATGCTTAAAGAAACAAATGGCCCTTGATCACAAGCAACAGAAAATTACAACATCCAAGTTAGTTGACATGTAAAAAGTTCAATTTCAATGAAATTGAATGGGAGCTAACTCATAAATAGACATTCTAAACATTGGCAGCGATCATGAAAATGAAGACAATTGTCACACCTGCACATTATTCTCTTCCATTAGAATCTCCTTGGCCTTTTCACATAATGCCCTCACCTAGAAAGATTAACAAAACAAATGACAAAAACCTCTTTTGACCAGGATACAAAAGAAAAATACAATACATGTAGCAAAATTATAAATTACATTTCCTTTACAAACAGAAAACTAAAGACCGTTTGAATTATTTGTTTATCTTCAGGTTTACATACTATTAGGTTACATTTCCAAAATAGTAAATGGACAAAAAGGGCACGGTTGATGACACCCCTAAGTGTTGCATCCTCCGCATCAGTGTTCTGTTAAAAATAAAATTCTTCTCAAAAAGTGGTTTAAAATATGTACAAAGTTAAATAATAATATATCTCACAGTTTTCAGTTGCACCATAGTTGAGAATCAAAGGGATGTGAACATCAATCAAATCACAAATGAACTTGGTGCTCGCGAAAGAATGATACATATGATATGGATTTTCTCTATTTCGCCAGATATTCTGAATAAGCCTAATTGTACATTAAATGCTAATAGAGAGTGAAAGTTCAGATCTAGGTTGAAATTTTTGAATCATTAGTGTCGAAAATTAATCTTCCATTTTTCCTAACTGTTTTTGCACTTCAATTATCAAGACAACCCTTGGATTGACTTGGAATTTCCTCTTAATACCCAATAATGGAAATGTATCCTTCTATTTCTCACCCATAAAGATAACTAATCTCCCTAGAACGCATCTACAAACATAACAGAACTTAATATTTATTTCCATTTCCTTTTCTAAGCCAGAATGACGTAACTACTTTAAGAAAAATTTGAAATATAGACACGACTAGTAAGATGAGTTTTAAGTTCTAAATTTAACCACTTTTACATTGCAATAAATATTTAAAATTAGAATATAAGTAATTAAAAAAAAAAGTGAATTTGGGGGACAAAATACAGGAAATTTCACTTGTAAGAAGTGATTTCCGCGAGACGTCCAAAAAGACCTCGAAGATGCTGAAATTAACAGGAAAATGAAATCTCTAGACGGATCTGATATTGAAATCCCGATATCTATTCTACTGTCGCACTTCCACAGCCTCAAATAAACCTTAACTTCAGATCACTCGTTCTAGAATCTAACATTAAACCCAGGAAAATCTACAAAATCAGATATCAATTTTCAAGAATTCATAAATAAATAGGAAGCTCGATATAACATAATTGCAAGTTCCTCAAACAATGGGGACCTCTCGTTCCAGTAAGGGTTTGCACTGCATGAGCTGATCGATTTGCTCGTCGAGATTCCCATGAGCTCCGCCGCCGCTCGCCGACGCCGATGCGTCCATGAGACGCTCTAGATTTTGGATTCTTCAAGATTCTCCACGCGGCGCGTTTTACTTGGTTTTGCTAAAGAGGTGCAGTGAGATTACAACCAATACTTTGTAGTTTGTATGATGAAAAATGCTATTCATCATCCCAATCACCATGCATCTCCAGTCTACGTGTATGTAAATAATTGGTTAAATAATATGTGAAATTAAATGATTTATTTAATTTCACCTATCATTTAATGTCACATTAACGTCACATAAACTGAGAATGTATCCTCAGTGGGGATAAATAGCATTACTCCTTGTATGATTCCAATTTTAAGGCCTTCTTTGAGTCACGTTATCGAAGAATGACAATGAAAAATATAGTTATTATTGGGGTCACACAAGAGATGAAAAATTTAAATTTAAATGTTGATATGATAGATAACGATCATATTTTTCATTTTAGTTATGAAATAAGGTAGCCCAAGCGAGGGCTAAATTTATTGATATTAAAATGTGTTTGATTGAATCTATTTTTTATAAAAAAAATGTCAATTTTTCATTTAAAATCCCAATTTGAAGCGTTCGACTACTATTTTTTTCAATTGAAAATACTTTTCAACTTTCACAAACTGTACAATAAAAATTAGGCAAGAAGAGCCCGTTTGATTCTCATTATTGTAGAATGAGAATAAAAAATATAGCCGTTATTAGACCCCACACAATATATAAAAATTCAAAATTGATGATTTGATGTGATGGATAACAGTCGTATTTTTCATTTTTATGAATGAATAATGAGAAACATAATTTACTTATTTTATTCCATGCCAAACAAAATTTTAAGATACATAATTTATAATTATTTGTCCACGTGTATAAATAGTTTTTAAATGAAGTATAATCCCCTTTTCTTTTTTCATGTTACCTAAACAAATTAAATCGAAAGGCCAATTAAATCAAACCAGATTCTGTATTCAAACTTCATATATGTTAGAAATAAATGACAAATAATATCATATACTCATGTATAAATGCACGACACATACGGGTGGGACTATGGATATGAAATGATCAAGTAGACTTAATACAATGGCTAATGATGACATGAAATTACAAAGGAATAAAATTAAAATCATAAATACAAATAAAAGTATCTAGATATTATTTTTAATTAACTTACATAAAATTGTGCTTAACAAATAAAAGTATAAGCAAACAATAATTAAATAAATAAACACGTCAATTATCAAGGGCGTCCAAAAAACATTAAATTGTAAATTCAATGTAATTATATGTATCTTAAGCTTAGAACTACGTTGATCGCTTATGGCGTTCAAGGTACAATCTACTGTAACAAATATAGTTAATCACGACTATAATGATTGTAACAATTTAATAGTAAATGCAACATAAATACAACTAATGAAGATACACGTGATAATCACAAGAAATAAGAAGGTGGCGTTACACACACTAATTTTTACGGAATTGAGTGGACAAAAAGGAATTTGTTTGGAGTTTTTGGATAGAAAAAAATACTTTCAAGGGGTTTTTTGACATTTACTAAAAATAAACACACGCCTAGCTAAAAACGAGTGTATACACTGCTCTCTCAAAATTGAGTAATATTTAATTTTGGATAGAAAAAATACTTTCAAGGGATTACGTGGACACTGATGTAAGATCTTTCCAACTGCATTTCTGTGATTGGTGGCTCATATATCCTGTCAGAGATTCTCAATCATTACATTCTTCCTTGCCTTGAAATATTACACAAGCTTCTCGTATAAAATATCCACTTCCAAGTTG